ATACAGAGAACACATTCTGGGTGTTTTAGCTACACCTTTAAAATGTCATCAGTCTCGAACATTTCAAAAGCCAGACTTTGCCGGATACCACATTTCTTCACATTCTCTTTTGTTTAACTTTCGGCTAATTAGCCCTGACAGTGCAGCTGCAGACCCAGCGTCCCAGTGTGTCATTAAGAGCACCGAGAATGATCTGGGGGTTTACAACTGTTGGAAGTTAATTTGGCGTAAACCTAACTTTCAAAGATTTCTCGAGATAGGACATGTCATGTCTATGTCCAGTCACACTTCTGTTTCAGAATTTCTTGTTTATATTATAAATATGACCTTTACAGTTATCTTTCAAAGTGCCCAGGGCTTTGAAGAGGAACCCTGAGGAGCTATAGTGACATTAGACTTAAGTATGATTCATAAGAACTTCAGGGTCCATGTCAATGTCCTTCCCCCACTCCTTCTTTTTTTCTTTTTAGTCACATAGCAACCCTGTCAGCTGGTGGCCGATTATGGTATTGGAGTCTTGTGATAAAATTACTCATGGGTATGCAAAGGTCCATCTCCACACTTTTTAGCCAGAGTTCATTATTGAGAGTGTTCTCTTTTTCCAGATAAAATGATCCCTAGGTCCATTCCAACTTCAAATTTTCCCACTGACCATACCAATTAGTGCATATGGGTTGCTGACTCTGAGACACCCTAGATCAAGAGTCAGCCATCTCTTCCTGAAGAAGAACTACAACGCTTCCTCTGTTTCATAGACATTTGAACAAAAGGAGATAGTGATGGAGTGCAGTTCTCTGGCTCAGGTTAAGCATCTAGCTAACCGTGCCAGCCACCAAACTCCATACTTTAGACATCCTTGTACTAAGTGGTCACTTATGATCCAAGTAATCCTTCCTTATAGTGGGGATGACACAGCAGTCCAGGTGTTCGGTCAGCAATCTGAGTTTCCTCTTTCAGATTCACTAATGGCGACACACGCGAGGATTTATACTTAAGCCATTTGGGTGTGCTCTTAGATTTGCCCTTGATGTTCCTTTAATGACTCTTCGAGACAAAGTTAAAGATCACGAACCTTAGCTTGAACTGACTGGTGTCATGGCAACTGGCACTTCACCTTTCACTGGTCCCCATCTCGTACATGTTACAATATTTGTGCGCATTAATAATTCATTGCAAAGTGCCAGATTTCTTTGTGCTGTCAAACTGTGTCAGGGACAGAATATGCTGTATCTCAGATGTCATCTACCAGACTGTTGAGGGCAAGATTAATTAGAAAAGAAAACTAGTCAGGTTACTTGGGAAGATTCCTGAAAATATGATGCTTTCTAGCCACTCATTTACAGCATTTTCCCTGTAAAGTAAGGGATAGAATTAGTGTTGATCAAAGTTTATTTGGTAATGTGCCCCAGACGTAAGGCAGAACTTGGGGCTGTGGAAATAAGGCACGAACAGTAATTGCTCGCCTCCATTCGGGCAGCAAAGGAAAATGATTAACAGCCTTCGTGCTCAGTCACATGGATCAGGCTCCAGCGTAAGCCCTGAAACCCCAAGTTTAAAAAAAAAAAAAAAAAAAAAAAACAATGGTCCTGATGTGAATGCTCTTATCCCAGGCTTGCCTTTGCCTGGCACATGGGAGCTGAGTGTTTGAGCCCAGGCTTAGAAGATGAGTCTGGGTTCCCTGCCTGACTGACCCTGGCCTTGGATAGCTTTTTTCACCTCCCAATTTCCTGAACCTTGTTGGTTGTGCTCAACATTGATAGCGGTTTTTGTGATTGTAGTATTAGACCTATGATCGGTGTGCTTCCTAAATAAAGAAAGTAGGCCTTTGTCTTAGGATGGAGAAAATGCAAGGAGACATTGGATTTCATTTGTACAGCAGACTGTGTTTGTCCCTGATTATGCACAGAAATCACATATTTTAAACTAGACACTGACCTGCCACCTTTTTTTTTTTAATTCTTCCTCTCTGCAGAAAGCTTTATATTAAAGCAAACCTGTGTCACAGTTTACTAGTTACTCAAAGTGAAGCATATTTTGCTGAAAAATGTTTACAACCCACAGTTGGAGAAGATTTTGGTCACTTAGCCATATTTAGATTCTTTTGTTTCTCTTTCTCTTTTTTTCTTATTAATACAAAACCAGTAGCTTGAATGTCCCTCCAGACTATTTGGAAGGAGAGCAAGGGGGTGAGGAAAGCAAGCCCAAGTCACACTTTTTAGAACACGCAGCCTGTGCATAAACTAGAGCTCTTATACTGGATACACTGATTTAACACGGTTCAGTGCTGGGAAGTGTGAATTCTGCTTAGCGACAGCCACAAAACCAGCTCCCATTCTAGCCATCATTGCTTGGCCACATCATTAAACAGTACCTGCATGTAATAGATGTTCAAGAAATAATCGCTGAAGGAGGAAGTTAATACCACAGACTAATTTCAGAACAAGGGGAGGGGTCATTAATCACTTTCAGAACCATGCAACAAATTAAACTTAAAAAACAGCTAGGAACTTGTTAATCTTCTATCACCTACCTTTATGTGGTGCTGGGGATCTGGATTAGTCATTTAGCACCTGCAGGCAACAGCATTGCACATGAGTCTGGGGGAGGTCATTAGTGCCAGCCGGCTCGGGTGTCCATGTGTTTCCAGCCAGGGCCAGCCGCCAGCTAGAGCGAGTGGTCACTGGCGATGTAAACAAACAGGGTCAGGGATTAAGCAGCAAATTCTTACCGATGTTGTATATTGTGTGTAATTTCTTGGGATTTAATATTGAGACTCCTCACTTAAGAACTTAACAGTAGGATCCTTTGTACTAAATCTATCCCTGTCTTCCAAGACTAGGCAAACTTTGAATACTGAGAAATGCTCTCTGAGTCGCATCACGAACACATTTTATATTTTTCTAGCTAATCTGGGAACAATCATAACCAACTACTTAAAAGAAGCCTTACAGACTTGGTTACTTAAGGATATGTTTTCTTATTTAGATTGGAATGTATATCTTTCTTTATGATATTACCTTATTGCAGTTCTGTGATATGATAGCCATATATAAGCCGGAGAGCCTAAAATTGAACATATAATCAATCACCCGAAGGACCAGGTCTTGCCTTTTTTGGCTACCAAGCACACCAAAATAATAATTACTCTTCCTAACTACCCTAACCATTCCCACTTACTGCTGCAATGAAGTAAAATCCGGCTGAACGTGTGTCTCTCTTCCATCCAGCAGCAAGCCAGGTCTCTGAAGTTCACAAGGAACATTGTTCACATTCTCTCCTCCACTGTACCCATCACAGGGCAATAGTTCTCCCATGATCTTTGAAAGAATAATCAGTATCTTCCAGCTTAGTCTGAGGCAGCCAGACAAATACATCTAAAACAATCAAAATATCTCAAAACATGTAATTGTATGTTACAGGGAATGGTCCTGACCATATGTCTTAAAGAAATACAAACAAAGTCAAGGTGGTGCAGAATGATATAAAGGCTTCACACCTTCAGCAGAGAGTTATTTGGAAGCTCTTGTGACATAAGCATGTTGAAAAGCGCAGGAGGCTTTGTAAACATGTGATTAATATTATACTTCAAATTACATGGGAGGGCATTGGAAGTAGATTGTCAGAGAGGAGATGAGTTCACAGGTAAAACCTGGTGGGTGAGAATAATTGTGTTCTGGGTGACCACAGTGAGGGGACCCAGACAGATGGGGTATGAGTTGGGGTGGGTGAGGTCATTGCATGATGGTCAGGAGTCAGACTGGGGAAGACCTTGGGATACTTCGAAGCCATTCATCTGGCAACTGTGTGCATCATGGATTGGAATGCAGAGAAACTTCAAAAGAAATGCAATGACTGTTTTTGATCTTGTACGTGCAAAAGTTATTGTAACAAATTAGATATTTATGCAAAAATTCAGTGATCCCTCAGCCAGGAAATCCTCAGAAAAGGGTATGCAAGTCTCCTTTAAGTCCACTGTGTATTGTTTGGGTTTTTTTTAACTTCATAAATCATGGGGAAGCTGTGTTGGCAGTGGGATATAACTCAACAGTAGACAGATTGCTCTTTGCTGCTTTCTTTTAAGAAGCAGGTTATAAAACTGTTGGGAGCCTGGTAAAGTAGTTAATAGATCATCTTAAGCAATTTGAAGTAATTTTTTTTTTTTTTAATACAGCCTTGTGTCTTGAAGGCAAAAGAGCCAGAGGGGAAAGAAAGAGTTTAGTGAATAAGGAATCAGTGCCCGTGTCTATTGCCCTGTAAGTGCCACGTGTTCAGCTACACTGAGTGGCGGGTCACCTGCTTCTGTGGACAAATCACTACCCTGTAAGCCCCCCAGGGGAGTGTGGTCATTTAGAATGCTGTAAGCTCCTGTCAGTTAGCACAGGACACATTTCTCGTGATGAGCATCCTGTACTTTTATCCTGCATTTTTACATCCTGAAATACTTTACCTCCTGCTAGTACGCTTTGGTGAAGCTTTGGATGCTGGAACATGATGCTGGAAGATCTCTTCATTCGCAGGTCCCTTCCTGTTTAGACATAGCCATAAGGTAGACATCAATGCCAGGCACTTACTCTCGGGTAAGCTGGAGGTCCCTCACAGACCGTGAGATAGCTGTGTTAAAGTGTCAGGAGCATGAAAAGATCCCTGACCTGGGAGTAGTTTAGATTAGCAGACAACTATCACTTGAAAGGTGATAAAGAGCCTTCTACTGATGGCTTTCTTTTCATCTCTGGCGCTTGTCCCCAAAAGCTCTTGTGTTACAAGTCTGGTTGGTCACGGCTTCTAATAGGCCAGCCACACCGATGATACGGTGTTATGCTAACCAGACACTCAGAGGATCTACTCTTGTAGTAAATGTATAAGATCTTGAAACAAGTCGGAAAATGTACCATTATGTGGGTAAAACTGGTTTTATCATGTGGCTAAAACATAACGTAGGATTGGTTTGTAAATGAAATTCACAGTGTCTGTTCTAAGCCTTGACTCTACTCTTCTTTCAGACCACAAAGGCTTTCCTTCCTACCATGCTGGAGATTAATCATGGTCACATTGTGACAGTTGCAAGTTCCTTGGGATTGTTCAGTACTGCCGGAGTTGAGGTTTGTGAGATATAAAGCATTTCCTTCAGTCAGTCGGTGTATCTCGTGATGTGTACACCGAAATCCTCCAAAGAGTACTGCCGCCCACACATTCGTGAAAGCACTCTGTTCCACCTGTGTGCCGTGTGTGGAATGTTCCTCAGTAACCCAGGGCCAGCTGTTGGGAGTGCACCTCTAGTATCTTCCGCCATAAAATCACTTACACTAGCTTGACAAAGCCACAGCAGCAGGAAAAGTAGGTGGACTGGCCCTCACTATGCCCCATTTTCATTAGCAGTTTTGCCTGATGGTGGTGGGGAGGCACAGGGTCAAGAATGAAACCGTGGAGGGCAGTGGCAGTGCCCTGGGAAACAGACACATGAGGCCAGAGCTTGACGTCCTGTTTGGGTCGACTTGCCAAAAGCGAACTGTCTTGTATCCATTCATCAGAGGAGATGGTTATGGCAGATGTGAGGTGTCTGGCTTTGTTAAGTTTGCAGAACTGGGCTTAATCAACCCCATTCTTCACCATATTCCAAAAATAAAGTGTTTGTATGTGTACCGTTCTGTTTGTCCTCCGGTGCCTCCAGCATAAAACTGAAAACCTCATCCCCATGCAAATACACAAAAGGACACAAACTAGATGGCTTCCACATTCTGCATTTCCATTCCTACATCTAAGGTGGGGTAAGGGATAAGAACTTTCTATACCATGTGTTCTTAGATTAAAGTCTGGCTTAAGTTTACAAAGTGTACTTACCATTTCCATTTTCACTTTACCCTAAAGAGAAAATCAGATCCTAACAACTTATAACCTAAGCTAGGTTCACCTTTGCTCTCGTAGCGTTAGTTAGACAAACTGGATTTTTATTCTCCTTTACTGAACAAGAGACCATTTGTAAATTTTCCAGACACTTCAAAGTGAACCTCTCTCCATTTTTAGCTCCCGCTTGTTAGCTTTTATAGAATTCCTTTGTGGTAACTTCCCTAAAGTAATATGATACTTGGTCGCTGTGGCAAAAAGTGTTCATCTGTTTCTGCTGTTGCTTTGAAAATATTATTTCTGCACTGAACCACATCAGATATCTGTCTTTGAAAATGCTTTCCTTTTCTTTGCTTAGTCACCTGTAACCTTCTGTATCAAACATGTAACCAGAGTACTAGGATCAGGGAAGCTTGGGTTTGGTCAGTGTGGTGTGGGATCTGTGCACATACTTAGTGTTTCTGTTCTCCTCTCTCTAACTCAGGATTATTGTGCCAGTAAATTTGGAGTGGTGGGTTTTCACGAATCCCTGAGCCATGAGTTAAAGGCTGCTGAAAAGGATGGAATTAAAACAACGTTGGTTTGCCCTTACCTTGTAGACACGGGCATGTTCCGAGGATGCCGAATCAGGTAAGTAAAAACCTGTCTTATTACTGATAAAAAACTTTTTTTGAAGCGCTTTTTTTTCCATCTTGGAGGAATATGTAGAATAAGACCTTGTGCCTTAACTATCATTTGACAACTAAACCGGTTATTTCATTGGTCAAGGTTTGTAAAATTCGGGTAAATAAGATTAACAAGCGAGGTTCTGATACCGCACTGATACTAATGCAAGGAAGTCAGTCTAGAAGCATCAGACAGGAAGTGGCCTCTCTGTACCTCCAAAGGAGGAAACACAAATACCCAGGGTCTCCCTTGGAAGCTACTTCCTTAGGAGTTATTTTGTTTCTTTAGTATTAGTGTTGGTAAATGAATGTGACTTTGATTTGGATATGAAACAATGTGACCGTCACAAAAGAGTAAGTCTTTCTTCTAAAAAGACCTTTGAATATTGCCCTCCAGATTTGGGAGCTTTCTTTTTGCAGAGTATACGTCGGCAGATTCACTATAAAAGAATGAGAAGAACTATTTCGATTTACTAAAAACAAAATAAAATACCCACACACTTTGAAAGGAGGCATGTGGGAATATAAATGTCAGGCCACGTATGACTTACTAGCAGAGTAAACAAAACCACGAATCATTAAAAGGATACTTGTAAAGACATGCTTACTTTGAGATTCTTTGCTTGGATGAGTTTGAACGGCAAGGGAAGATAACCGAACCAGTTCCCCGTTGTTCAGGGCCATTCTGAACACATCCCGAAGCTGGCCACGCTGTGAAGTAGGTGGAGCTTGACTTGAGTGATTCCATTGTCCGGCTCACTCCACGTCTGGACGGGGAATGGACTCGAGCTCTGCCTCTTTTCCCAAGCATGCACACGTGTGTGTGTGTGTTTCTTTCATCTTATATACTTAGGAACCAATTGCCTAGGGTCTAAGGAGCCCTGTTTCCTATTTAGCTGTTTCCTATTTAGCATCATGGCAGGTGTCCAAAGCTGTGGTGGGACAATGGAAAGTGAAAGGAATAAATTATACTATTAGGTTATTTCAATGTGTCATGTAATGAATTCAGCTGAAGGTAGGATTGTCTATATGCTCTTCATTTCAGAGACCCCTGAGAGAAAATGCCTCGGTTTTCCCTCCTGGGGCATCCAGGAAAGTATACAGCTGACTTATTTCACTCAGAAAATTTATGCCAGTGTTACACACCATCTTTCTAACAACGCTTAGCACTAAAAGTTTGGCATTGTGTTTGGGTTTACTGTTTGTTATGCCAAACGTCCTCTTCTTTTCTATTAAGAAAAATAGAGGGGCACCTGGGTGGCCCAGCGGGTTAAAGCCTCTGCCTTTGGCTCGGATCATGATCTTAGGGTCCTGGGATCGAGCCCCACATCAGGCTCTCTGCTTGGTGGGGAGTCTGCTTCCCTTCCTCTCTCTGCGTGCCTCTCTGCCTACTTGTGATTTCTGTCTGGCAAATAAATAAATAAACTCTTTTTAAAAAAATAATAAAAAATAAAATAACAGAAAAATAATGTGAAATACATTTTAAAAACATTATCTCACTTTACAGAAGAGGAGACCAATTTTACTTTTTTTTTTAACCTGTTTTCTAGACTATGCAAATAAAATATATTCAGAGTAGGAAAATTTGGAAAATACAGAAAAACACAATGCAGGGAACAAAATGGGCCTGAGATCCTGACACTTAGATAACTTCACTGGTAATGGTTTGATGTCTATTTCCAGTCTTCCCTGCTTTGTGTTAATTCTTCATTTCATTTTTTGAATATTTAACTTTCAGGAAAGAAATTGAACCTTTTCTGCCCCCGCTGAAGCCTGATTACTGTGTGAAGCAGGCCATGAAGGCCATCCTCACAGACCAGCCCATGATCTGCACCCCCCGCCTCATGTACATCGTGACTTTCATGAAGAGGTAACTGTGTGGGTTCCCTCCTGGGTCGGGCCTCCCCCAGGACCTACCGCCAGCAGGTGCACACTTGCTAACAGACCCCTTTCTCGTTTCAGCATCCTCCCTTTTGAAGCGGTTGTGTGCATGTATCGGTTCCTAGGAGCAGACAAGTGTATGTACCCGTTCATTGCTCAAAGAAAACAAGCCACAAACAATAATGAAGCGAAAAACGGCATCTGAGGATCTTTTTTGTACGGAGTATCGTTTCTATCAGAAGACGATCCAGGTGTTTCATTCCAACACACATCAGCATTACTGACAGTCTCTGGATTCTAAACCCACGTCGACGTTTTTTTTTTTTAATCAACTTTAAAAAATAAATAAATGAAGTGCAAATTAACCGACTAGAAGACTTGGAAATGTGATCAGCAAAAGTGAGCTTATGTTGTTGCCAACAGGGTCCTTTGAGGCAGAACCCTGAAACCTGTCCTATCTTTTAGACAAGCACTGTGTGACATCTCCAGGCTACCATTATTTTTCTTAAAGAGCAGAAAGCCTAGAGATGGGAACGACAGTGTGTTTCACCTGTGTGGTTGTTTGTTTTTTTTTTTTTTTTTAATATCCGTAGAGTTTATTAATTCTTGTAATTAAACTCTAGCCAATTGACACCCTTGCAACTTCAAGGACTGCTAGTGCTATATTTTCTCATGTTTTCTAAGTTTCAGTTTTGCAAAGCCCATGGGGCTGCTTGTGGTGTTTGTGTGTACAGCTCTTTTAAAAAAGGAATTTTGAAATCTCATCAATTTGAAGTAAATGATGTTTGATTATTACAGTAACGGGATCAGGTCTCTTTCTTAAAGTCATAAGGACTAAAGTGTTAGCCGAATTTTTAATTTTGTCTCTGAAATCTTTCCTTAAAGCTCTATTCCTCTGGAGACCTACTTATCCACAAAGGTCATACATTTTCTACCTGTGAATTTTGCTGCATACAGAAAGTGCCCTTTCCTCAGGAAGTTGCTGTGTTTCATTTCTTTGAATGGACTTTTATCTAGAATACATAGCAGCTCTGCAAAGGAACAGTTTCTAAAAATGGGAACTTCTGCATTAAAAAAAGGTCCCCATTTTTGTGCCAACTATGATTAGTGAGGGGGAAAAAAATCATATTCTATGGAGTACGTATTGGAAGGGTGTAAAGATTCTTTTGAAAGTTTTATTCACATTGTAGAACAGCAATTGACATTTTTACAGTATTTTTTTGTAAAGCAAACTATTTTGTGCCTTGAATTTGGTAAATGTGTATTAGTGAAATGTTGTTAAAGTGGACTTCTACCTCTGTATCTAAATGTATACCATCCACTTGTAAATTACTATAAACTATTATGTGATTGCTTTTTTTTTTTAGAATGTCTTGTTTAAATAGCAACCAATGTTTAAGGCTATTAAAATAAGCCATCTTTTACTAATTAATTGGGAAGTTTTATAAAGGACTGATTAAATTTAAAGAATTAACTTACATGCCACTGACTGTGTGATTACTAGTGATCAGCAATATTCTAGAGAAAATCATTGCATTCATATCAGACCTTAAAGAAAAAAACTGCTTGAATGGGATAATGTTCAGGAACAGCCATTAACAATTTAGGGTGCCATACACTCAAATTTCCTTTGTTACCATACACTTTGATGAGATACTTTATCAGGGGCTTATTAACCCTGAAAGTGGGAAAATAGCATCTCATTACCTCTGTGAGTTTGCACCACAGATCAGATCAGCACTGTAATCACGGGAAAGTCCTGCTCACTGTGAGTGTCCTCGACGCTGGTCTTAAGGAATCACTTCATTTATGTTTGAATTTCTCTAAAAAGAGAAATGATAACCAAGTCTGAGGCTTTTATAATAATTGAGGCACTGGCTGCCTCTTAATTTTCAACTGGGGATTGAAAGTTTTGAAGTAGTGCTTCCTAACACTGTGGGGTGGAGAGATCGTTCTTACCCAAGTTTATCCGGTTCCGCCTCCCAGCCAGCCCAGAGCACACTCAGACCATCAGAGAAATCTGTGCTACTTTCACGACTCATTTATTGATCTTAAGACTAAGGAAGGTCTTCTTTACATTTAATGTTATTCTCACCCATTATAATTTAAACCTATTTCTATTTTCATTCGGTACTGACCTTATAAGCTTGTCCATCTCTAAGTTCAATAAACCTGATGCATTGAACTTTTGTGTATAACTCATCAATTCCCTAGCCCCTGCCTAGTTTAATTAGTTCTGTGGCTACCCCTCGAATACTGTCCAAATTCTCTTTCCTGCCTTTAGCTGTGGAGTTGGAAGAGTTAGTGTGTGTTTAGAACTGCAAGATTCCTATGTGTTTTATCTGTTCAGCCCAGTACCACATTCTTAATATGATGCTACTTTGACGATGACTACTGTTTTCTCTAAACATGAACTCCCCTCGTCAAACCTACATACTAGTGTTGATCACATAAGTAATTGCGGAAGTTACTTTTCTTGCTACTTAATAACCTACCACACACCTCCCCCCCCACCCCCCCCACCACCCCACCTCGTCATTCATGCTGACTCTGAGTTCTCTTTTATCTCATCTGTCCCGTTTAGGGCTACAGGGCTCAAGGCTGGCACCCAGGGAGCACTTCTGTCCCTCACCTATAACTGATTTGTGCCCTCCTCCCCTACCTTTCAGCCAGTTTAATGATAATCATATTGAGTGGAATCAAAAGTTGTGACGCCAGCAGAGATAAATTCCAACTATTGTTTTCCCCTTGATCTACCAGGTCTGCTGCTCTGTCACAAAAGATTAGATTACCTTGACAGGATTGAGCTACATAAAGCCAGGCTCAGTGTGTATATATGTGTGTGTGTGTGTGTGTGTGTGTGTGTGTGTTAAAGTATCCTGTTTCCTTGAAAGGCTATAGCTTTCATATTTTCCCCAAGTTAAAAAAAAAAAAGTCAAATGTCATTTTCAAAGTTTTCTTTTCCAACTGGCAGAAATAATTCAAAATTGGTGTTGATCTGAATCTTGGAAATTTGCTTTTGCCTCCAACAATATTTAAAATCAGTGGGGTTTGGGGGAGGAGGGTAGTTCTTTCCATGCCAATTTTATTGCCTGTGTCTGATTAAAAAGAGGAGAAGGGAAAGCGAGGCTGTGTTGGGCCAGAAAGGCTGGGACGTGGGGCCGGGGGGACAGGAGCATAGTCAGCATCTGCCTGCCGTTCAACAAGCACACGAGGCATCTGCTAAGCCGGAGGGCCTGGCCCAGGGACCCAAGTAGCTTGTGGATGACCCATAAGTTCAAATACCAGTAACTATGTGAGTATGCCACAAATGAAGCCTCAGAGTGTGGACGAGTTCTCAGCGAGGTGGCATTTGAGAGAAGCCTTGAAGATTGGGGAGGTAGCAGATGTGAGATGAGAATGGGAGCTTGGGCATGCCAGGGAACTGAAGGTCAGGAAAGGCTCAGAGGTTGAAAAAGAAAGATGATACTCATTGTGTCTGAAATAGGACGCACAAAGAGAATGCCATGCCTTTCCTAAGTGGGTCCCATCTTGAGGATGGCCTCCATTCCAGGCTGAGGATGGAGAAGAGAGAAGCCCTAGGAAAGGACATGAGCAGAGTTGTGAAGTTAATAGAATCCGTTGCTACAAAGGCTATTGGAATACCGGAAGCTGGGAGACCAGCTAGGAGGGAGGCTATGGCAAAAGTCAGGCTACGAAGTGATGAGCATGAAAAGGAACAGATGGCTGCCAGAGTCCCAGTGTTTAGCTTAAGGACTGAAGAATGGCTCATCACGAGCCAGGTTGTATGTAAGTGGGAACAGTAGAACAGCAAACCTGATCCCAGAAGCGTTGCTTTGGAGATGCTGGGAGACAGTCCCTGGCAGATAGGTGGACATCGAGATCTGCTCCTTAGGAAGGAGGCTGGTGCTAAGATTCTGGCTGCTAAGAGGCATCTGCCAAGAGGCTGTGCCGTGCGGTAGAGCTGGGGGGCGTAGGAGGAGAAGGGCCAGGGCCCGCAACTTGGGGAATACGAGGGAGCTGCCGAAGAAAAAGGCACGAAAGGTGACGTAGGAGAAAAGTTAGAAGAAACCAGACTAGAAACAATTATCTCCTCTGCCTGGACCTAATCTCCAGCCTGAGTCACACTTAAGAAACCTCAGTGTGGTGCAAGAAAAAGCGTCTGTGTGGCCAGCCCTGGGGCAGAGGCCCAAAAGGTGAAGGGCAGTGTTAACAGATAGCGCATGGAGTCTCTAGGCATGCACTCAGGTTTCTAGTAACTGAATCCATTGTTTTAATGACCAAAGGAAAATTTCTTCCTCTGTGAAACCTGGAAACCGTTGTTTGGCAGTTCTGTTTGCTTGGCCGCGGAAACACAACTTGCTTAAATGTGCAGGCAGCGTTTCATGAGAACCCTAGAGGAAAAACAAAGTACATTTCAAGTATCATCTAATGGATACATGTTAGCTCAAGTGAACCCCTTTCACTTGCCAAAAAGAGGGGACAGGACCTGCCTCTAGCCGACTGCTCAACGGGACAGTCTCCCACCTGCTTCCCTCGAGTGCAGAACTCAGCACAAGCCAAGCACGCTCTGGGCACACCCCTAGGTCAAGAGGGATGTCCTCTGCTCTCCCCGGCTCTCCCTGGGAAGGTCAAGACCGAGCCATGTGGGCGACCACAGTCCTCTGTGTTCGTTATGACGACTCTTTAGGCGCTTGAGTTTGCCATGTCACACTCGAGAGTCCAGAGCACTTAACCGCTTTCCTGACCATCTTCCCAGGGAAGTGTCGGGAATGTGCGCCCGCGTTGCCTGGAATCCTATTCACCGAGCAATTAATTCTCATCTCACTTGCTCCGTTCCTGCAGAGCATTTCCATGGTGTCTTCTAGGAGCTTCTAGCAAGCTTTTTAGCTGCAATGGTTGAAACCTTTCTAACCACCAGCCAAAAGCAAGAGCACTGATAGGCCCGGAAAACAAAGCCTCTTCAGCCCGGATTCTGGGTTTGAGGTCTTCCTGTCAAGCTGATTTAAACCATGCTGCAGGAAGGTGTGTGTTCCCAGCAGCCATGAACAATGTCCCCTCGTGTTGCCCACGTGTCCTGGGTGGTCCACCTGGACACCACGCGGCAGACCTCCCCTCCCCCACAGCGGGGGCATCGGGCTCCTCTCATCCTGGCCCTGGACAGCCTGGCTCTGTGCGTGGCCTGCGTGGTCCAAGAGACCAGTGGGCAGGCGGGGCTCTTGGCCCTGAAACCAGCACATAGCATGCCCCAGCTGTACAGTTCCTGTTTGAGAGCTCAGCGGTGTGGATCAAATCACATCCTCCTCAAAGAGACCACAGTGATGTCCTAACCCCTGATTCCTGGTGATGTGATCACATTTGGAAATAGTGTCTTCGCTGTGTAATCACGATAAAGTCATTTTGAATTAGATGGGCCCTACGTCCAACCCCTGGCATCTATCTAAGAGAGACAGACACACACAGGGAGAACACCACGTAGAGAGAGAGAAAGGGACTGGAGTGATGGCAGCTACAATCCAAGGGTCACCAAGGGGTACCTGCAAGGAGGAAGCAAGGAGCAGATTCTCACTTGGGGCCTCCAAAAGGGAGTCAGCCCTATCGACACCTTGATTCCAGATTGCCAGCCTCTGGAATTGGGAGAGTGAGTTTCTGTCTTTTTAACCACCTGGTTTGCCACACTTAGTTAAGCAGCCCGAGGCAACACACATACCCAGGGCCTGCAGCCTCGCCTCCGAAAGTCTCTGGTGTGTAACCTGGCCACTGTAGCCGGCCCCATCTCAAGGATATTATGAGGGATCTACGGGAGGACACACAGAAGGCACGAAGGGATTGCACGGGGTTGAATTACAGGAACCTGCTGTTATTCTGCTGTCTTTGACCTAACCAAGGGCCATTCCCCACTGAAGAGTTGAGCCCAATAGTAATGATGGTCGTGGCCGTGGCCATGGCTGTGGCAATGAGCAGTGCTGATATCAGAGTCCTTGTGGGTGGTCCTGCTTGGTTTTTCCAACAGTCCTCAATTCTCTGACACCGGCTGGGTGCCCGGCAATTCAATTCTGCTCGGAGTCAGCACAGAGGTAGGGCTCAGGCCTGTAAGACTGCCCCCACCTCAGATGCCAATTACAAATGTGGGCCCCAGGCTACCCACACATCTGCCCAGCTGACTATACATTGGCGGGTTTCCACCCCCCGAACTTCAGGTTTGATAATCTGCTAGAACGACTCAGAACTCAGGTGAACACTATACTTATGAGTTTGTTATAAAGGATACACATGACAAGCAGATAAAGAGGCACATAGGTCAAGGAGGGAGGAGGGGAGTTGGCACACAGCTTCCATGCCCCATGGGGACACACCATCCTCCCAGCACCTTAATGTCTTCACCCACCTGCAGTCTCTCCAAATCTCACAGGTCAAGAGTTGTTATGGTGGTTTAATTACTCAGGCTTTCTTGATTGGCCACAGTTGGCCACTGGTG